CTTAACAGCCTATTCCTAGATTCTGACAACATGGCCTGGTAACTGATTGTTATCTGCGGTTGCCTGAATCGTGTTTATGAGATTATTGGAGTTGGTAGACCTGACAGCCGATGCTTGCATCGCGCGGCTTACTCGTTATCTGTGGTTTCAAGATTCAGGGGCGGCAACCAAGGGACAAGAGCTTGATGCAAGCTTGTTTTGGAAGAATGGTTGATAATTACACAAATATAATCATACCCTATAAAATATTGCGCCTAGAGGGGTGGAATTTCGCATGCTTGGGTGCACTGTGCTTGTTCCTTTGCCTTCGCCCGTCTTGACCTCCTAAGCTTGGCCCTTCAACCTCCCTTCAACACAGCCACCAGGAACGCCCGGCACACGCCAAGTCTTGACCAGTTCGAGTCCAGAGGCGTCAAACATCTTCTGGAAGCCTGCTTCAGTACGCTCCTTTCCGCCCATCGTCATAACAGCCTGATCAAGAACAGCGGAGGCAAAATCAGCTTCTCCTACGCGAGGGGCGAGGACCATTTCGCAAATAAGGACTCGAGAATAAGGCTTCATGGCTTCGGCGATACGAGTGAGGATTTGTATTCCAACGGCGTCTGCGTAGTCGTGTAGGATCATGCGCATAAAGTAAGCTTTAGCCCCTGAATTCCGTATTAGTCTTGGTTCTTGTAAGTCATGGGTTGACAGGAGTAGCTTACCTTTTACGGGCTGCTCCGTCATAAAGTCATGCTCAACAAGTTGAACATCGTCCGGGAGGGTCTTCTTCGATTTAGCAAGCTGTATGACTTCCGGTCGTTCTTGAAGCACGCAATTCCGGGGTGACAGATCAGGATGAGCTTCGAGGATCTTGTTAAGGACCGTGCCTTCACCACCGCCAACATCCACAAGCTCTATGGTGGCGTTTTCTGTATCTGAGGATTCTTTCTTGAGGGTGCTGAAGTCAAAGTGGCCAGTAACAGGAATTGCGACATCGATGCCGGCCATGCCTGTCTGGAAAGCTTGGAATCTCTCGGGGTTCTGCATCATGATGCTCCATACTGGCGTTCCTTCTTGCTTCCAATAAGCAGTGTACGGGTTATATAGGGGGTCTTGAGGTTCCTGGTATTTTCCTTTCGATACAAGATAGTCGTCAAAGTTGTGCATATGTTTGAACCATTCATCGTACCTGCGAGACGTTAGATAAGCCTCAACGCCACTCAGCGCTCAAACTTACATTGCCAGGAACAAGTGGCCCGGCGCAGGCTTATCGAGGATGTAAGCCAATGAAAATTTGGTGTGCTTGTACTCGCCACCATCGGGCTCTGTTTGGTCCAGGAATCCGGAAGCAACTGCAGGAGGATGTGAGACTATGCTGACCAACGCTCTTGGCAAGGGAACTGACCTAACACGCGCCCCATCCGCTCTAAGGAGATTGGAATTTCAGCTACGAGTTTACCAGCCAACAGTGACAAGGATCCCTACCTAGAAGCGAGTCTTGGACACCAGTAGCTTGGGAGAGATCTTGAAGGGATATGGACCCTGTGGCGGGAATGGCATCGAGGACCTTGAGCTTCATAAATGTTCGGATAGCAACCAATTCGGCGATCTACGAAATGCGTGAGCGGCTGCATGCCTTTTGACCAAATTCCAGGAAGCTGGAGTGAAATCACGGCTTACATTGAGGCCGTGGTAGTTGGGCTTCTGATCTGGCGTGATGAGGGCATTTGTGAGTGTCCTTGCTTTTTCGAGGATCTGGACCCTGGACATGTAACCGTTCAGGTCTGGAGCATCGGAATAAGCCTTGGCGGCATCATTGAGGCTGCTGACTAGATCATTGATCTCTTGTTTGCTCGGGAGTGCCATTGTGACGGATGCTTCTTGCAGATGTTTGTGTTTGATCCGTTGGCTCCAAGGTAGCACTGTAGCCAACAAAGCAAAGACTTGAATGAGCTGAGGATAGAGGGGCAACCCTTCACCCTGGTCGTGACCAGTCCGAAAGGGGATCTAGAAGAGAGAAAATACGTACCATGGAGCTGGCTAAGACACTTGCAGTGGAACCATCCAATCCTCGCCATACTCTCACAGGTTTAGCCTAACAAAATACCCGGGTCCCCTAAAAGGCTAGTGGCCGCGTCCCGTGCCAAAAACAGGGGGTTGAAGATGATCCAACTCTTTTCACATTACGATTGATGATGGCATCTTGGCCATTTCTTCGCAGGATCTGACATATTTCGACAACGAGACCTCTGTGTCTGTCCGTGCGAGGAATATCGATTCAGACATCTTTTCCGTGTCATCATATTCCCAATGCTACCCCCGCTCCAAGATCAACATTCCCCAACCCGAGAGATCGGAGATGGTGAAGCTAAAGCGGGCCACGTAACATCAGACCAGGCCCGAGACCCAGATCGTGGAGATCAAGAAGAACAGGGGCTAGTGGATAGACCGCCGTCGACATCACCAACACAAGCTTCAAGCCGCATCGAGCCCGACATCTTTGACAACGATGACCTCGAGGATGAGCTCTACCCAGAATCAACGAACACGAGCTATCTGACGTCCATTGCGTCGGATATTCGACGCGGCATTCAAGAAAACGGTCGAACTTACGGTGTCTATGGCCTGCACAAAGCTTGGATCCCTAGTGATGATCTCGAGGTAAACGAAATGCGCTATTCGTCTCAGACGTCTCAGAAAGCTTGAATACTAATTAGAGTTTACAGGTTGAGCGCAATGATCTCCAGCACTGCAAGTTCACGATGCTCATGGGTAACGAGCTTCACTTGGCCCCTATTGTCGATCATCCGCAAAAGATCCTCGATCTTGGCACTGGATCAGGTATTTGGGCGATCGATATGGCTGAGCAATACCCTTCAGCCAAGGTAATCGGCGTCGACACAACTCCGGTTCAGCCTAACGTGATACCGCCCAACTTAGTTTTCGAGGTATGTCGGTCGACCTCCGTGGGCCTGCCTTTGATTTTCACTGCAGTGATACGCGACATTGAGCCATGCTGACGTCTCCAGATTGACGATGTTGAAGATGACTGGCTCTGGGGCGAAGGAACTTTCGATCTTATCCATGGCCGAGAACTCATCATGGCCATTCGCAACTGGCCTCGTCTGATGGAGCAAGCTTTCAACCACCTCAAGCCCGGCGCTTACTTCCAGCTCTCAGGCTCAGTCCCCGACTTCAAGTCCGACGACGGCACACTGCCCCCTGATTCCGCTTACATCGAGATGGGCAAGATCTACTTCGAGATGTCGCAGCGCATTGGCTGTTCAGGCTGGGAACCGACTCGCTGGAAGGAGCACTTTGAAAATGCCGGCTTCGAGGATGTTGTAGAGCGCGTCCTCAAGATCCCTACGAATCCTTGGCCCAAGGACAAGCATCTGAAGGAGATTGGGGCGTTTGAGCTTTCGCATTTTCGAGATACCATTGGAAACGTGTTTGCTCGTGGGTACGAGCAGATACTCAACGGCGATCCGAATTACTTCCAGGTACTACTGGCCAAGGCTCGAAAGGAGGTACTGAACCCAAACATGCACAGTTGGGTGCCCTTGTAAGTGCTTGCTTTTGCCCCTGTTTTGGAATGTAGTCAAGAGCTAACGAGTGTCTATCAGCTACGTTGTGTACGGCCGGAAACCAAGAAGCTCAACTACAGATCAGCCACCACATCAGAAGTCCGCTTCTCCGGACGCATAGTTGACTGGCTGCGAGAGCTGTGTTGTACTAAGCCAAAGCTGAGCAAGGGGTGTACAACAGGACTTGCAATATCAGCGTGGCGGTATAATCCATGGCTCAATGAATGATCCCCAGCGTACGACTTTCTATTTCTGAACCCTTATCACGTCTGGCTTCTAGGCATGTTGTAGTCTTGAAGATCGAGCATCTGAGACTTTCATGAAGTTTCAAACTTACGGTCAATCTCAAAACCAAGCACTTTCTATCCGATTTCGCCAAGATGCAACATCATATGTTACATTATGATAACAAAACGAAAGTTCTGCTCACGTCCTTGGGGCTGGTTGAACTAGTAATAGCCTAAGGGAGGAAGTGGTAGATAACAAAGATAATTTTGCGATAATTTCAGGTCAAACTCACAGAAAGTAGTAGATTTCAACTCCAACCATGGGTCAGATTTGGTTACTGTTAGAGCAATGTGGGCAACATGCCATTACAGGGGCGATTTTGAGGACAGGAGTGTTGGAAATCGACCACTGCCTGCCTGCACCGGGCTCCTAGCGAGGTCCGTTAGGGAGTTCGCCCGCACATCCATTGCTGTAGACACTTGCCAACCATAAGGTACCTTAATGCTGCCGCAATATAATTCAGAACACGATGCTCACTCTCGGGATATAAACTTGGACCCAAGAACTCTCGGTGACAACTATTGCGTCTTATATGATATCAAGCCACTGGGCTGTGTAGTGCGCTACCATACGAGCTTTCCTTTGGCAGTCAAATGAGTCATCCTCCAGGTTTTCTTTTTGTGCATTGATGCTGTATCAACTGGCCAGGAACTATGGCGTCATGTCAAAGTTGCGAGGTACTGAGGTAGATACATATTTTGCAAGAGACCTGTGGCTGAGAGTTCATATCACCATACGGCACTTGGAGCGTCACAACAGTGTCTTAGCACCACGACGATCACTGCGAGCAGAAGGAACAGAAAAGTGGGAGAACACTTAATTTAGTTCTCAAGTAAGTTTGATTAATGCATATTCCTCCACGATCGTATCGTAAGAACAGGTTCCCTGGGCGAGGACCAGATGGCTGGATGCTACACAGCTACTCCTAGGTACACCATCAAACAGCGTAGAAGGCTTTGGAAAGAAAAGAATCTGGTTTTGAATGAATCAGCAAAATGCCTCTGGATGAGAGGGCAAACAAGGAGAGTGTCTTACTGTTGTTGGCACTCGAGTCACGCTCAAGGCAAAGTTCAAAAAAAGCATTCACCATCCCGGGTAACATGAGCGTAAGAGTGTCAATAGAAAGTACAACGCGTTCACAATTCAGTCGGCGCAAAGAGAAACCGAAGGCTGTGGCTCGCGGGATAGTGTTTGGCGACATCGTTGGTCAGGGGGGCGTCGGCTGTGATTTCAAAGTCAGCCAAGCTTTGCATAACAGGTCAAGTTTAAATACTCACTGAAGATGCTCACCACATGAGATCGAGCTGGATCACGCCATCCACTCGGCGGACGTTGACTCCACGCTGGCGATCTGGGTTGGGAATCCGGTGGATGGCGACGCCGTAGCGAAGGACGAGGAAAATGAGGAGCCACACGGACAGCTCACCGAACCACTCGGCGTTGGACATGTTGTGGGTAAAAGCGTCCCAGAACATGTCGAGGTGATTTTGCAGTTTGTTTGGGAAGAAATCAGATATCGTGTCGTGTTGGAGTGTCTTGGGTGCAGCGACAAGTACAGGTGTTAGTTGCTGAGGGGAAATTTGTGGGCGGCCCTAGCAGGAGGTACTAAATTTTTGTAGCCCACTTTGGTCATGCAGCTGTGCATCCCGCATCTGAGCTGAGCTGACATGGGCTGGGCTGGGCTGCATCACTGCTATTGAGTCACTCCGCTCTCGTCCCATCTCTTCTCCCTCTCTCTCTCCAACCCACCATCAAAACAATCACTCAAAACAACATCTTTCGGGTGGTGATAAACAATCATTTCCTCTTTATTATATACGCAAACAACAACATCATCATCATCCTCTCTTCTTTTCAACTCGTATACATCACTAGTAACAAAGAAGAATATCCTGCTTCATCGGGCTCCTTGCTCCTTGCGCTCACCAAGCACGCGTCGAGGTGATCCTCTGCAAGCTCATCCTTGTTTTTCTCTTCCCCTCTTCATCTTTGAACATTACAAACTTCCTCTGCAATCCCTCTTTGTTCCCACATTCCAAACGTCTACTCCCTTGCTCTTCTTGTTTCCCTATCACAAAGAGACACTCCGCTGCACTACAGCAATCATGGGTGGCAAGGCCTTCGCTCACGCGAATCCTCCTCTGGAGACACCTCGAATGCCTCACGCGGCATATCTTGAGGCCAAAAACACAGTCATTCGACGGCTAAGTAAGAAATTCCACTGGATTAATGTTCCGATGGAAGGTCCCGGAAAGGAAGACCATGGCGACGTCGATGTCCTCGTCTGCGAAATGAACGGAATCGATATCCTCAAGGAGAGCGTCCTCGATGCCATCTCTGACGCCCTCGGCGCTGAATCTAGAATCATTGCAGGTGGCGCCAGTCACTTCGCTGCTCACTTCGCTATCCCATGGCCTGAGCATATCCCTATTCCCCAGGCAAAGGGGAAGGCAACTCTTCTTCCACCGGTTGTTTCAATCACTCCTCCGTCACCTCCGGGCCCTTATGCTCGTTCTTCTCTTACCATCACTCCTGGGAACCTGTTCAAGCCTTCTGGCGATGCTCCTGCAGTTTCTACTATCAGCACTGCTACTCGAAAGCCTCCCCTGGATTCAACCTTGCCTTCTCCCTTCGGTCCACACCCTAACCCCCTTGGTTCAAACCCTGCTCTCTACATCAAAGAAGCTTCTAGTCCTGACGCAGAGCCAAATGCCGAGGAGTACTCAAAATCAAACCAACAAACCGTAAGTCGATGGCCACTTGCATATCCCCGAGTGAAGCTTATAATATGTTTTAGTTCGCTACAACTGCAGTCTCACAGACCATGCCCCCATCCAACGATTCTGATGGCGTTAGTATCACCTCTTCAGAGCGTAGTCAAGCATCTGCTGCAACGGCTCCTGTGACTGGCAAATGGGGAACTATCTCTTATCTCAAGAGAAAAATGAAAACCGGCGAATCGTCTTCTCGTAAGGACCTTTTCCTTCTCGAGTAACTTGTTCTTATTGATCAAGCTGCTAACATGAATAGGTTCCTTTTCATTGTCTACAATGTTCAAGCGTGGCAAGTCAGGCCGAGATTCTGTTGCATCAAACTCTACCCGCGGAACTCTTGAAAAGGTATTATCATGCAAAGACTTAACCATGTTCGCTGTTTTCTAACGATAAACTCAGATCAACAGTTCTTCTTCAGAGCCTGGTGCTACCCTTCCAGCTGTCACTGGAACTGGACCTTTCAGAATCAAGAGAAGAACTGTCCCAAAGTCGATCCTGACTGATAACCCTTTTGTTCCCCTCCCTACGGTCCCTGTACACGAGAACCAAGTCCAAGGTTCTCCTCGTATCTTCATCCAGGTTGACGTCAGATACTGTCTTTCCAGAAAGCAAGCTAAGTACTTGCGCTTCTTCGAGTCGCACGGCGACTTTTGGCAGATCCTCGGACCCATCATTCGTCCCTATGGTCTTACCGTGGACGACAAAGGTCTTCACATCCGGGTGCCAGAAGGAGAACAGATCAACCGTAAGAAAGCTAAGATCCTACTTACCAGCAAGCCTGATGACATCCTGCTATTCCTTGGACTCCCCGTTGCTGAATACTGGCGTCCCTTTGCCACCACCGACGCGATGTTCAAGTACATCACCAAATGTCCCATGTTTTCTTTGCCTCGCAGCAGCACCTTAGAGGGAGATATGAGTCTCGGCACTTCTAATGATCGTCGTCGTATGGCCTCGCGTCCTGTCTATCGAGAATGGGTTCAGGAGTTCAAGCCTCGCCTCCGAGAGAGGGGGCAGTATTACGAGAACCCCTTGACCCGTGACGACATCAGGGATAAGGCGTTCAATACTTTCAAGATAGAATCTGAGTACCACTCCCGAGTTCGATCATTCATCCGGGACTCACAAAGAGACGAGCTCAGGAAGTACATCAGGTCGATCGTCCCCCAGGCAGAAGACAACTCCACCCAGGCCAAACAAAGACGATCCAAGACAATTAAGGCCATGCTTGCCATCGTCCTTGATGGCCTCGATGCTTCCGAGTTCGGAATCGCCGCTCCATCCAACCTCCTCCGGGGGAACGGAACGTGGGACATGCCACGCACCAAGGATTGGATCCGCACCAAGGTGCACTTCATCGGCCGCTATGCCAACATGAGCGCGACAGAAAAGGAGAAGTTGAGGGCAGAATCAACGAAGAGGAAGGAAGAGCGCGGCTAGGGTCGTCGCCGCCTAACCATCAACGATGTCCCCGAGGACCAACCCGAGGAGCCTGAGCCACTCCCCGACCAGCTCCCCCTGAGGCTGGCTCAACTCAACCTCGGCGCCAGCCAGTAGGCTGGCTTGCCAACCATCCTCCAACCAAAATTTTGTTCATGTTTTCAAAGGTATGTTTAGCTTGTCTAGATTGATATTTTCACGAAACTAACCATCCATAGTTCTATTCCACAATTTCCAACGGTAGTCGATCGACTACATACGCGACGCACGTAATCTAGTTTTTTTTCTTGGGGCAGTCGGGGTCAGGCTGTTTCTTTTCCGGGTGGGAGGGAGGGCCTATATAGGCGGAAAAGTGTATATACCATTTGCTACAATCGGAGTTTTTTTTGGTACCATTATCAACTGTCCCCCAAAACGCATCTTCTGTGATTTGTGTAATCTGTAAATCTGCTGTCTTATGAAGTCCTTCGCACTGTTGCAGTCTTTGTACGCCTAATTGCTATTGCTATTCTGCATGAAATGCGTATCACCAAATTGTGTGACAGCAAGTTAGTTTGATATCTGCCACTTTGTTGACAGCCTGGCTTCACAGGGGGCACGGATTTCGTTTTCAGTCGGTTACAGTGGGTGCCTGGGCAGTGATATGGTCTTTGTACTTGTGAGGTGCAGAGCTCAGATAATGCATATGACCTCATCACACTTCTCCCAGCTGGAACACTCCCCATTATCTCCCCAGCACCAGCAGTAGACGCCTCTGAAATTGTTACGCTAGGGTCACTGGGCTACAAGGTACTCTTCATTCTGTTCCCAAATTATTTCCCATCATGTTGCTGTGATATTACACGAGGGCTGGGGCCCCTTTTCCCACAGATTCAGCACCCAAAATCTAACGCCGAAGCGCGAGCTAGACGGGTAAACCTTTCCCGACTTCCTTCTAGCAAGTCGTCCCCAAACACAGTTTCCTTCTTTCCCACTCCCCTCCCATCTTCACTCTCACTTCCTCTCCACCTCACAACTTTGAGCCCACGACATTTCCCTGGCTATCTCTACTAGCCTTTACGTCTTTGCCGACGGGATATTTGGGAGTATTCTCCTCTGCGTTGTCGGGCCGCACCGTCCTTCTATCCGCACGGTCGGTCCTCTTCCAAGCCCTATTCAAGCCCAAGCGGTCCTCTGTTGCCGTGCTCTCTTGACACTTGAAATCTACAAACCATCAATACGTCCAGAACACTTCTCCTTTGAGATCTACAGAAACGGCGTTCACATGGGTAAGTTGCTCCCACTCTTTCTCCATCATCATCTCACGTAGAAATCACAACTCGCTGACTATCTCGTGTCCTTCACAGCCGTGGCATTGGCCACTTCCAAGTTAAGGCCACGATAAGACTTTCTCCTACGCACAACATCACTCTAGCTTCTGATTCTCCTCCAAAGGTATGTTTGCTTGCTTATTCTCCTCCATTTCCGTCTGTCTATCACGAGCATATCGTGTTCCTATGTTCTTCCTCTCGAGAGCAAACGTCGCAAAGCCTCACCTGCACCTCAGTTCCCTGTCTTTCACTCCTGCAGCTGGTCTACCAAAGTACCTTGAATACCGCTGGAGTGGAGGATGCCGGTTCCATGCCTTTCAAATCTTGCCACACCTTGAAACCCATATCCCTTTCTTGCAAATATCCGGCTACCTAAGTGTGGCGGCCTCTTAGCAGAGTCTGCTCTACTTCACTTTGTCTCCCGATCTTATTTTCAATCCTGAACTCGGCAAGCTAACCTTCTTTGATTCCAGAACTCTCCCACTTTTCTGGATCCCAAGTTGGGAATTCGAAGAGGAAATGCCCCGTCGTTGGTTTTCCGATCGGCTCCATGATGCCTGGGGACGAGTGGCTGGTCGCCGTGGCCGGCAAAGGGACCAAGAAAGCCAAAGCTCTCAACACTATGCGGAAATAGTGGCTGCTCCCGATGAGAGTCTGGATAGGGCCAACCACCTCCACCTCCGTCGAGGTGCCTCTCTTCCAGATCTCCTGGCCCGTGCCGCCCTGGGCCATATTCCCCCACCACTTCCTCTCGATAGCCAAAGCCTTTGGGACACTCCAGCACCTGCCCTTTCCCCTGTTCAATCCCAGTCAAGCGGTGCTATTGGATTCGGTACTTTCCTTGGGGAATGCGAAAGAGAAGCATCTCGTGAGGATCAGCATTTTATCCCAGCGGCTATCATTACGACTCGTAACACTGTGTCCATCGGTCAAGGGACTGAGGATCAGCCTTGGATGCTTCCCGGCCAAGTAAGTCTCACTCTAAGCCCTGACCCTGACAATGGATACCCCTTTTGGTCGTCGGACCTGTGGCAACAGAAAATTTTGTTATCAATGGGAGCTGACTATGGGAATAGGATTTCTTTCCTGAGAGCCAACCACTGGTTCCTAGCCATCTGAGAACCGGATTATTTTTGAAGTATGTCTAACATACGCTTTTTTCTTCTTACAACTCTAATTGTGACTTCTACAGCTCTCAACTGGAGCATCGCACGCTTGAGCCATGCGACTGCTGCAGCCCAAAGTTCTTGGTCGGAGATTGGCGGGCCTTGACTCTCGACCCCCTCACGAATACCTTTACTCGTCACGAATCTTTGGCATCGTCCTCTGAGCTTCGCGGCCGAGACCATCCCAAGTCCCAAGACAAAGTCTTTGCGATCCCAATCAATGTTATTACTAGTCAGCCAGGCTAGGGGCACCTGCTGCAAACATACATTGCCGAAGTTCACAGCGATGTCTTTGCACTCCTACTTGAGGTTCTCGTCTCCCCGAACGGCCTCATTGGCCAAGAAGACGAGCTCAACCTCCCGCTGTTGCTTTCCACATTGTCATATGCTCTAGACCAAGGCATGACCCGGGAGACTAAGAAGCTCAAGAGAACTATTGATCGTTACATCCCCCTCCGCATGTTCCACCACAATCCTCACACCAAGTCACCTCGTCTGGAGTTTGAGTATTACGAGTTCCGTTCCGAGGAAGTCTACCGAGCCTGGCTAGTAGTCTCTCAAGATGCGAGACTCCGTGATTACCTCTCTCCCAGTGAGGCGGTAACTCTTTATGTCTGCTTAGTGCCTGATTGGTGTTGGTCTGGCTGCATTCACGACTACGACGAAAGGTTCATAGAGGACACAAACACTGCCTTAGCCTCTATTAAGGGCGACCCTGGGAGTCGGTTTGAGCAAGTCTTTCAAGGCTTCTTCAACCGCACACGACTCGGATTGCATTCTTGGACTGGAAGCGATGCCCTCAGTGGTGGAGGCCAGGTCTCTGTGACCAAGACCGAGTCTCATGAAGAAGCTCTGCAAGCATTCGGCAACCAACCCCAAGTCCAACCAGACGGCGCTCTCACCCTCTATGGCGTCCCGTTCCAGGGAACTCGGAAGGCAGCGCATCGGAACCACCCTCCAGTAAGTGGAGGTGACTTGGAAGAAACCCTTCGGGGGTTTCAGGGGGGGCCACGCCGGGCTCTCGATGCACTTTTCATTGGTGCGCCTGGAGGTTCGGGTCACACCCCAACGCCCGGGACCCAAGGGGTGCCCTTCACGGGTGCTCTTGGTGACATGCGTGAGAGCCCACGCAGGGTTCTCGATGCACTTTTCACTGGTGGTGCTGGGGAGATTGCTGATGGGTCAGTTGAAGATGGGAGTTTCAATGGTATGCGGGAGGGTTCGGATTAAGATCAAATGCGTGGAGATCAAAATATCCCTTGTATTGTGCCTCCTGTGGCTGTATCTGACATTTCTGGTAGTTCAGAGCGTGGCATTCGTCGAGTTCGCAGAGAGACAGCCGTGTTCCCTCGGGTTGATTGATAGATAGTTAAAGCTTATGACATCTCAACGAGATATATCAAACCAACACGTTAAACATATTCCAAATGCAAGCAAACTTTCAAGACCATGTATATCAGGCTTCGCACCCGTTGCCTATACCATGCACTTGGGATTAGATTTCTGTCATTGGACTTTTTTCGTACTCCCCTGTCCAAGTTCTCGGTCATTTCACTCCCAGAATGACTCGGATGCAGATTCACCACATCGGTAAGGACACGAAGCCATAGCAACAGTGTTGTGGAACAGCAACAATGATCTTTCAGGTCAAAGCGAGCATGCCCCAGCCCACTTCAAAATCCCGTTCTGTGCTGGACACAGTATCTTGTTGTAAACTCTGTTTTCCTTCTTCCAGTGTAGTTCGCGCTTGGAAACTTATATCAGTCTGCAACATGTTACAAGAGAAAGGCTGCGTTCGATTTTCATCGGGTTGTGGAACGACTCGAGATGCTGTTCATGATCCTTGTAGACTGACTTCCATGATGTAAGACAGAGGAGGAATATGAAATCAAGTTGTATTGTCTTTTTGGTTGTTTGTCTAGTCTGCTCATCCATTTCTGTACATGCAGAGCTGATGTATCGTGAGATTCTATACAAACTTTCTTTATCCTTGGGACTAATTGAGTTCAGATGTAGTACTATCTACCAACCATGCGATTTTCCGCAACGCCACCTACAGCATGGGTCAATCTGTGATCAAGCAGACCACACCGGTTCAAAGACTTGTGACGCTTGTTCATTAGTTTTTGCGCTGTCTGTCATCACTCACATGCGCCTGCTTTCGTCAAGAAAATCCAGCATATTACAAGATCTTATGATTCATGGTCCTAAATCGTACCTGTAAGACAAGACTTCGACTCCCAATGCTTTTTCGTCGTAGGAGTAACTATTACAGGCTCTGGTGCCATATGCTCCCCGTCACTGTCTCTTCAAGCTTGCTTCAAACGACGAGACGGCTCAAGAAGATGCGAAAGGGGCAACCCCTCACGTGCAATGCCAGTGTCGCCATAAGTCGGGCCTCATCGGTGTTGCAGGGACGGAACGCACACCTAGTCAGTTTCAGACACAGCCGTTCGATGATAAATGCTACTTGCACCAGAATATCTCGGTCTTGGGATAGCTCAACCGTACACCCAAATGGTCAAGATGGTATCGATCGTCAGGGACAAGCGTGGGGTGTTTGCAAGTTGTCGGTTGAAAATTTCTTGTACTCAAGGAACTAGTCCAAGGTATCGATGTCCGCAAGCAGATGGGATAATCGTCACTAAGCCTTGGTCTTTTGTTGGGCGGCTGAAGATAGGCGAGCGAGAAAAGAGTTTGTTCGGGAAGCGGCGCAAGATAGGCGTAAATGTTTTTAATCATCTGTACTGATCATAAGGTCGGCTTAAAGGCTTTACTCTCGTTTCTTTTCGGCTGCAAGCCATAAAGTCTGTAGTTACTGGCTTCTTGTTAGCATCTAAGCTGTAACTCAGGGATTGCATAACCAAAGGGGTAGCTCGCCGCTCACTCTGTGATAGGCCAGTCTAGTAGACCTCTTAGGTCATACTAGCAAGCTCTTTGACTTAGAAAGCTGCGGTTTCTGATCGTCTCGTAAAGGGGCTAAAGTTGGGTGTCTCGACTTGATAGACTCAGAACTTTATTTGACCTTTAATTTAGTTGTACATGAAAGCCTTGATGAGGGAAGCCAGAATAGTAGAGGTCCCAGTCTCCGACTTGGGGCTCCTCGCCCGTATGGCTTCGTCCGTTTCCGTCGAGATGGCTCATCCACTAAGATTCTCGAACGTGTGCTCGCTTCCCTAGCTGAATCCTCAAGATTCGTCAGCCTCTTGCGGGGCTTTGTTCTGGTTTTCTTTCTATTGCAAGTATTGTTGGTCTTGGGCGACACTTGCGGTCATTCCGTACACGACGGGGAGTATGCGGTGTTTCCATATTGTCCCCAGGCAATATGAGCTTTTTCGTGGTTGTGAGTCGGAATACACTTGAGGATGCGGACATCAGGGATTGTTCGCTTCTTTCTTAACGTCAAGCGAGCCAGCAGAGGGTCTTTGTACTCGCACGGAGCTTTACACAACTCATATGGAAACCAGATAAAATCATAGAATGGCTCAACAAACCTGTATTGACGAGACACATGCGTAAAGATATCTGTCTCGGGCCTTGAGTGCGCCACAACAGACGGCACGCGCAGTCTTATGTGTTGAGTGATGTCAGGGCCTGACTGTGCCAAAATTCTGTGACCAGGAAGACAAGTCAAAGGAAAGACCTGCGACAAGCTAGCGTGAGATTGTCAGGCTTGAGCGTTTAGACGAGCCAGATGACTCGGGTTATCAAGGAGACACAGTGGCCGTCATTGTTCCATGATATCCTGACTGAAAGAAAGCGGTGTTACAAGTGAAGTTAAGGTAGAGAGGAGTTTTGCTGGTGCTGGATACCTCAGTAAGGAGGGTATGTGAAGGCTATCGGCATTTGATCCAGATTGCAAGCACTCCAGGTTATGGATTTTCGAATCTCTAAGTGCTTAATTAATGGCCCTCTGCGTATCAATTAATTGATACGTTTAGCTCTTCCAAGTTAGCGATACATGCTCAAATTTGGCTAGATGACAACTCCATGTATATACTGTATCTGCCCACATCCTACCACAACCCACTACAACAGGTTCAACCCGTTATCTTCCGTAGTATAGTGGTCAGTATGCAAGCTTGTCACGCTTGAGACCCGGGTTCAATTCCCGGCGGGAGAGATCCAGCCACCTGTGATACACAGGCGATCATTTTTTAGCTTTTTGGCCATCATCTTGACAATGTCAAGAGATATTCAATATGGCCTATTACAGATGGTCATTCAATTTTTGGGTTTGTTGGTTAAACCTGGAACAGTGACAACAGATCTTGGCGTGCGTCGCTGGGGTGTGCTTCCAGGGTCTTGCTGCGCTAATTACAGTTAGCAGATCGCAATGATCAACATTCATGCATTGCAAGTTTGCAGGACGAAGTCCCCTGATTCATGATTTGCCATTTGTTTTGTTTGTCGTGAGCAGCAATTGTCATGAATGCGGCCAAATGGAACACACATTGGGTCGTTTTTACTTTACAATCTAGTGATGGAAGTGTTGGTGACTGAGGATGGTTGTTCACTTTCGAGATATCAGATACAATGACAATGAACAAATATTGATAGAAGCAAATAAGTATTGAGCATGTACTCTATCCAGGTTCTATGACCCAATCAAAACGCTATTATAATGAATAACTGTGACCCTCTAAACCCAATGACCTCAACCTAGAGGTTATGCAAAAATATGTGCTAGAAACGTTCCATCATCAACCAGGCTTTACTCGCTGGGCTGGACCTGGGAGTACAAGCAGCCAACAGGCTTCTTAACCTTGGCGGCCTTGACGGAGAAGGGAAGGCAGTTCTTGTTACCGCCGGGGTTGTCAATGCTGTTGTAGACCCAGACAGACCAAGAGGTCTTCTCGAGGTCGTCGCCGTTGGGGCAGGCAACGAAGCCGGCGCCACCGTTGGTGAGGATGCCGTCCTTGTCGATCTTCCAGCCGTTGCGCTGGGCGTTCCTGGGCATGGGCTGAGCGCCAGTGGTGTAGCCGAACTTGCCCTGGCCCATGCCGGAGAAGTCGACGTAGGCCTGCTGGCCAGGGAAGCCGACGGAGTAGAGCCAGAGCTCGTCGTTGTAGAGCTGGAAGGTGACGTCGTTGTGGTGCTTGCCGTCGTCGCAGCTGGCCTCCTGCTTCTTGAGCTTCAGCTCGAAGGACTCCTTGTTGGCCTGGATGTAGCTGAAGTGGATGGGGCTGGCGGAGCGGAGGGCGAGACCGTTGAAGTAGGTGGACTTGGGAGTGCTGCTGGTCTTGGGGGCAGCAGAGACGACGCCGGCGGCGACGAGAGGAGTGATGAGAAGAGCCTTGATCTGCATGATGGCGGTTGTTTTGTTGTTGTGGTAGTAGTTTAGAGTGGTTGAGTGTTGATTGGGATGAGGTTGAGGTTGAGGATGAGGGTGTGAGTGATGAGTGAGTGAGATAATGTCGAAAAGAAGATAACATCGATAGTCTTATATACATATTCTCTCCCCTTGATCGTCTTCATCTCGCATCGTCATAGCTGAGACCGTCTCTGGCAGTTGCCCCAATAACGGGCTCTAAGCCCCAGCCCCAGTCCGAAGGTCCGCGGTGAGGACTGAAGGGACCAACGCTGGAGGGTCGCGGCATGTCGCCCGCCTCGCGGAAGAATAAAGAATACGAGGTATCTCCACAGTCCACTGCAACTCAACAATTATCACCCTGAAATAAACCCACTGCATCCCCATAATGCATTGAGAGCTCAGGCGGTCGAGCCGAGAACCCAGGTCCAGGCCCCAGAAGCGTTGCTGGACACGGCTAAAATTGTAAGGGTCAGGCCAGCCAACGCCAACGCTAGGGATAACGGCAGCCCAGAGCAAGCCACCCGTGACCAGAGCCCAACCCCAGGCCGAGCCAGCAATTGAACTCTCTAAAATTAGCAACGTCCAGTCTTTTCTAGAACCTATCGTTCGATGCCGAGGCACTCAATCTCGCCCTAGCTAATGCGTGGACCCTCCGCGCTTGGCTACAGACGTCATAGTCTCGATCCCTAAAGGCCTAAGCTAAGCTAAACTGACCTGACCTGACCACTGGCAATGGCATTGAACTTGTCTCTGGGCCACCGCCACAAATGGAGCTCCTCGTAAATGCGAGCTTCTTCATGCAGAGACACGTTGGCCAAGAACGATATTTCAGGTGGAATACTACTTCTGCTGTGATGCCGAGTTCCGCTATTCTGTTGAAGTTGAATAATGCGGAAAAGTTTCTTCATTAGGGGGCGGAAGTCTACCCGGAAATAATGGCCTGTGTTAAGGCTCTAGGTTAGGAGCACGAATATTCCATCACGATCAGTCACTCAACGTCTGCCAAGATCAAGCCCCATAGAATAGTATCTCAACATGGGATGTTCCTCGCAGAAATGTATATATTTGTGGCTGAGCATAGCATGAATAGGAGAATGGCAGTTTCTCCGCTACGATCCAAGGTTCAGAATGCCCATATATTGTGGAAATACAGGGACATTGGCAGTGGGCCATAGCCAGTTTCACCTATAGTGCCCCAGACTATGAAGTCCGATCCTTGGACTTTGCTCTTGAAGTGGTATTCCAAGCACCTGATCTGCAAAATCTAACGAGATTGGACGGAATAATACGAGTTCCAGTGCCGATCAGCCCGTATTCAACAATAACAGTTAACATGACGTTCACCATCTGATATCATTGATTGAGTTCCTTTTGTGTGAAGTGACAATCAAGTTTACAACGTTTCAGTGTCTCAATGAGAAACGCTCGTCCTTCGATTCCGATAGAATGAATCTGCAGCTAAAATAGGTACTCGCTAAGGTAGTGTTGATCTGGTGACAAGTGCCGTGGCTGGTGGATATAATTGTAGGTTTGCTAGGATAGCCTCGCTATACTGAAGCGTAATCAAGATAATCAAACCCAATTATGCTTTGTTCGAGAATAGCTCGCACAACGTTCAGAGCGCATTACCCACTCTAACTATCGTCAAGCAATCCCAAGCTCAAGGCACAGACATTGCCGCAAGAGCATAGTCGTACATGATTAGATTTTAATCCAATACATACTAGCCCTGCACCCAGCAATGCCAGCATATAGAACTATCAAAGTCACATCCCTGACAAGAATAAGAGGCTGCCCTAGGCTGCTTCTCCTTCTCTCGTATAGTGTCGATCCAACAAAATCAGAATCGTTTCGTGAGATCATTGTCGAGCCAAACTCTTGGCCGAATTTTCATTCTTGCTTTCACGATGATGATCTACGCTCAGGCGGTGGCAAAGCCTTACTCCCAAAGCGCGCCAATCGTGGGGTGGACCACGATGCACACGATTTGCTCAAAGGCACGTTACATTTCTTGGCATTGGAGATCGATTATCACAGTCGATCATTGAGGCTTTGGAATTGAAGAAGATGCAATAGTTGGGCTAGGCTCCGGACAATGCAAGGGACTTTGCTAACAACGAGCGTCGTCTTGCCGCTGTTGCACTCATCATTATTCTCTCTTCTCTTTTTCTGAGAAGCTGTCTACTAGCTGTAAAGCTGATTTCCCTGCTCTCATTCAAGAATATTTGGTAAACCAAACAACTATGATTAGGTGGATCACCCAGGGTTGCAATAGCTAAAAGCTGTTGAGGTCGTCAGACAAACGCCTCTGAATCTCAAATCATATCAAGATGTTAACTTCGTTGAACATATTCGATGCTTAGACTTCCGCTCACAGAGAATTTTGACCGCCGAGGGTACCGCTGAGTATGAGATTGACAGTATGGTTGCACCCGGGACATCCAGCATCAGGAACATACGACTAAGCCACGCCGAGGCCTCCGGATCGACATTGTGCATGGCTTTCGGGGCCCCCAAGGCTCTTTAAACACTCCAGATCTCTGTTGGAGGGCTGTGACAGAGAAAATCGGGACGCTATAGTATAAGATCCCAAGAGCTGGGGAAGGATTCTTCTTCAGCACAAGAACACCTTGACAGTTCTTGAGCTCGATATGTCAGAGTTTGGTCACACAGAAAGCAAAATTGGGAGAATGGTCGGATGGGGGACCTTGAGCAAAGAAGTGACGAACAACACTAGCTTGAGAGGAAGTCAAACAAGATCCCGATGCTCTGCCCCCTGATCTGGAATAATTCTTTCTCTATGAATATTTCAAAGATGAGAGTTATTAAATTGATCATCATGTTAAAGAGCTTTCCAGCAAGAGGGAATAAGGCAAAATATATGCAGCTAATGTCTACAAAGGCTACGAACTGGAATCCAAAGACGAGCCCTGGCAACGGGGAAGCAGAAGTCTGAATGGATTTAATTTGCAGTATAGTAAGCCATGAGCAATATTTGAGCTTTAATCAACAGTCAGTCAGTAAATAGGTGGTGCCTCACTCACACGGTGTTTCTCGGGCATCACACATGTCTTTGTTACACTTGACATTAATTCAGATTTCAGAAAATTATAAAAGCAGTTTACGTTTGAGGTGAAATGAGGTTAACATAGACTATATCCCAAGATAGTGGCAGTCTAACTGAATGAGGTATATGCGTAAGCAGACTCCAGAGATATCTTATCTCACTCAGCTGCACTTAAACTTCTCAACCTCGACTATTTCCATATTATCAAGGTTCCTGATTGGATCCCCAATTCTATCTCTGAAAGCGATAGCTGCATTTCAACACGTCCAAATATGACAACATTCTCGTCCATTCCCCCCTACATCCTCGGCGGCGCCTGTGTCAGCCGTGGAGTAATGGCTCTCCTCTCACCACAAAAAGAGTACGGCCATGTCGGTCTTCTCCTCGAACCTAGCAAAATAAACACTGAAGGCGGTTCTGTTTCACCTCTGATGTACTTCAAGGGTCTTCGTGAGATATCATACGGTCTTACGTTGATGGCACTGCAATATCAGGGCAACGAGAGCGCCGTGACGACATTTTCGGCGATCTTGTCAATCGTGAGAATTGGCGATGGGTTGATTGTCTGGATGAACGGCGGTGATGAGCTGAGATACAAAGCTGCTGGCCATTGGATTACAGGACTGGGATTTGTTGGATGGGTGATTTGGAGATGGAGTTACTAGAATTCCAAAGCTGAAAGAGAGGTTATATCGGACTGCAATCAAAGACACATATTGATTCCGAAGGCCAGGGAGGCTGCAACTTTTCTAAACGCGGCTCAGCTCCTCGCTCTTCTAGATACCAAGGAGTATGTATTGTGTCTCATATGAATTCTAAGTTGTGAACACTCGCTAAATTCTTCCGTAGAAAACATATTACAACCATCAGAGGCATCTACATAGAGTAAGTGAAGCTATTTAATCTACGTATTTGACCTGTATTCAGCCTTTGCCTTTCATCGTAGCCATCGGCTAAGAGACCACCCAAAACATTCAACCGATACGACAAGAACATCATCAACTCACACTCGACTGCAAACCTAGCTGTACACCTGCCAGAGGAACAAAAGCTAATAATTGCTAGCCAAAACTGAATTTACTCATAGTAAACTCAGAACGGGATTCATAGGGTTCGTGGTCACAATATGGATCGACGTCAAATGTTCAAAGAGTCCGAAAACGGAAAACCCGAGCATGAGTTGCACAATGACTTCGAGATACAGCCTTTAAGGCCTTTACGAGTAATTGAGCATTTATGTGGTTTCAACTCGATCGAGTGGGTCATCTGCGAACCTTTGGCGGCCTGCTACTCTGGCTTCATTTGGCGTTGTCTCGAATTATATGCAGCCAGACTGACACTTCCTTAGATAACCAGAACCCTTATATCCAGGCTCGTTCCCCCTTGTAACTTAGACACTCAATCGAGGTTTAATGCGGAAGGTCCTCTCCTTCGTATTGTTTGAGACGTGGTCGTTGTGAATGAGGTTGACGCAGCTGTAGGTCGCATGACAGGATGTCTCATGGATTGACAGCGACACGACAGATCAATTTCTGTTTATTACCGTACGGGCAGAGAGCTCTGTTCATAAGAAAGCACCGGGCGATATTTATTTCCGTGTGTGAGCTCTTTACAGCCATGAAAGAGAATGGCCTTGTTTCGATCTTCACCAGTCGCATTACGATGCGATGTCAACAGCTGGTCTGGATCAACAGAACGGACCAGCCTACCCTTCATGCATTTCCTACCAAGATACTACTGCACTGTCGATTCTATCAGCCATACAGTCCCACCTTATGATCACGCGATAAGTAATCTTCGACCATCAGTGCAAAGTTCCCTCGTCCTGTGTGAATAACGCACTCAACCATTGCCAAAACCAAGATGTACCAGTCTATTTATGACCTTTTTTGTTTTCCAGAATACATTTGAACCAGTCATGATCATCTTATTCATGTCTCTCCGCTTTGAATTGTGTCCCCCTCCCTTGTCCATTGGTATCACAAAACCCTACTCCGATCCCCAACACCAAACCACATTTTACTCCGTGCTCAAGTTCCACAGTCCATCGCCCAAATAATGCGCGTCCTCAATCACGGGTCCCTTACCCTTTGCCTTGACCTCCTTGGTACCCGCGACGAGTGTTCCCACCGCGCAGGCCTCCTCCTTGCCCTCAGCTATGACAACCACAGGCTCACCCTTGACAAGCTCTCTGCTCCATCGTCCCTCCTCGTCCATCTTCTGGTCCATCTCCTTCCCCTCTTGTAGACCCTCGGGGGCACCATCAGCAGGCAGTCTGCCTCCTGGAGAAGTCAAGCCAGGGGCCATGAGGGTAGCGCCCGAGAGGACGAAGCGAATGGCACCACGGTCTATACGAATGCTGGGGAACGCTTGAGGAAAGCGGTGTACGAGACGGAGGTGAGGAACAAGGATGCCAGTGAGATCCTGTTGGTAGAAGAGAGGTGTCGAGTCGAGAACGTAGAGGGTGTTGCGGTCGGTCAGCTTCATGCTCGAAAGGGAGGCCTTCTTGGGCAGAATCTCGTCGATGTAGGGGTTGAGGAGAGGGTATGTGTCAAGGAGGCCCTGGCGAAGGGAGCGCTGGACGGAGGATTTGAGCTTCTGCTTCGGTGAGCCCTGGATTCTGGTCATGGTTAGATGAGAGCTTTGAGAGGTTTCTTGTGGGGGAATGTACTCTTTCTTGAACATTGTGGTAGTTTAACGACAGTGCCGAAATAGATATAATACTGAAGTTGAGCTACGTAGTTTATAGAACAAATAAACAGAAAATGGATGGTAGAGAAGCTGAACTTGTCGTGTCGTGTCGGGACGTATCGTGTCTTGGTGGGGTGCTTTTGGTATGGAAAAGTCAAGTCGACAAGTGCCCCGCGGCATCGGTGGCGGGGTAAATCTCGAGATGCAATAACAGAGGCACAGCACCAAAGTCTCCAAGAATACCATCACAACTGGAACACACAGCACGCGATCACAATTAATAGACACAGCGGACAGTTTATAGGGGAAATCCATGATCCTGTTATTCTCTTGCGCCTTCGCCATTGCAGGCGAATCCTGTTCCCATCATTAAGGTATCGTACATTAACAATGCCCCTCCTTTTGGTGGAGGGGTCAAGTCTACCAAGCACCGCCAGATCAGCCCTTGACGACATGTGAAACAGTTCCGTCATCCTTGAGGTGAACGTTGAGCCTATCCTCCTTGAAGTCCTTTGTGACCATCATTCCTGGCTCGATGATGCGTGTCTCCTGGGGGAGATCTCGCTTAGCAAAGACCTGTTCGTTATCGTTAGCAGCGTGTTTATGTAGCGTAAAGAGGTTTCGTGTCAACATACAGTCTCGGTGGATGTCTCTTCGTCGGATAGCTTCTTGCCGACGAGCTTGTTCTGCCATTCCTCGGCCTTGTCGCCGGATGTTGAGTTGATACCAGGAACGACGAGAGGCATGGTGGACGTTGTATTTGTTGTACGTGAGAGTGGTAGATGGTTCGATAAGTGTAGTGAAGCTACGTTGCAGAAGAAATAGGATCAAAGAGTCGGTTGCTTCCTTTTATACATAAAGCTTGCGTGGAATCACTGCATTACATATGAGGCAAAAGCAAGAAGCTCACGCCAAAGTTGATGACGTAGACTCACATGGCTAATCCCCAGATTCAGTTCGATTGGCTACGCGTCGGTTACTCAAGGGACAATACATGACGTGCGTGTGAAAGAGGGGGAGCGTTTAAATCGATCAAGATCTCGGGCATTTTTTAATGGTTGTTCATGTCATTTGCTGGTGAAATAAATGATTGACAAGTGATGTGTCTTGGCATTAGAATTACGCTTTTCTGTCAATCTCAGGCACTGACCACTACAACCTAAGTGCTGCTCGGCATTTTCAGCCCCTGAACATCGGGCACCTTAGGTTCTTTAGCGAGCTGAGGTTGATTCGGCACATCCCGATGAGATAAAGCGATGAAGGCGGAAAGTATCAGGATGTTCTGTTTGCGGGCACGAGGTTCGTCGGGATATAGAATCAGATCCTCTTACTACCTACGACAAGATCAAATGCTTGTTAGCTTTGCTCATATAAGCTTTCCAGTATTGCTCATAGACCTTTAGCTCATGATGATATACCGAGAGGTGATTGTTCAACTTGGAATAGCCCCAGAGAGTTTGTAAGCGATGGACAATTATGAGGTCTTCCTTTTTCTTTCCTCACTCTCGCCTACTACTTGGCCATCTGGTGATGGGATGCAGCTATTTGATGGCGTCGGGATGCGCGACAGGGTCCATCTCAGCTGCATAACGCCTATGAATACATGTAAGCAGAGCCAGAGGCAGAGTAAGCTCATGGCATTGACCGCTTATACAACATCTCTTCTCATTCTGTCCAGAGACGTGTTTCTCCAGTCTGTAGTCCGTATTCCGTTTGATATGATACCTACTGTTGCCCCAACATACACCCAAACACATGGCAATTGCAACAAATGAAAGAAGTCGATTGAAATACCATCTCCTTCATGCTTCACCCCACAACCGTCGTCGCACCAGATGTCCAAAACTTGGCGTCGATTGGTTGCCGCAGCGCCATCCTTGCCATCCTTGCCAGCTGTGCTGTGCTGTTATCCGCTCTTTCAGCCACTTCAATCAGCGCTTGTGGGAAGACATGGCAAGGCTTGGGCTTACGTAGGTGGGTGGTTTGCGCAACGAGAGCCCCAGAGTCAGGTTTCAGCATGTCAGCAGTAATTGAAGGACAGTGACAACTTCTTGTAACACTTTGTACATCTTTGCTGTAGAAATCAGATTGTTCTCATAGCAATGTATGTAAACATGTCTCGATTTTGTTTGTTGATGTTTGTCTTTGTCTTTGTCTTGAATCCAGCTCAGCCCAGCTCCAGTGCTGGCTACCTTAGCGGGTTAGCTAATAAGTTCCCACCTGTGATCCTGCATCATCAGCAAAGTATCAGCATCAGCCGTCATCATGGGCATGCATTGGCGATGGATATTGATCAGACTCGCCCTTGGTGGACTCGATGGCAACATACATACAGACACTACCACTCCAAATAGTTAACAATATCACCGCTTCTGCACCCAAAACTTAACAGAACACTCACAGCCCTAACACCTGCAAAACAAAGAACAAGACAAGGACCCTCAATCTCTTCTCATGTCCTATCCCCTTTCAGGTTTAGCCAATTGTGGCTCAAGTCCTCTCACCCCCGTCTAGAAAGGATCCGTCTCCTCCTCTCCCCTTTTTTTAGCACAAGCAACGCTCTAAAGATCCCCATAATAATAATAAGAGCCTGTAACATGGACTTGCTGCTGCCAGCTTTTGCCAGTGGCCAGTACCTAAGGTAAGCACTGCCAGCCAGCCCAAAGGCCGCCTCATATCCCCTGCCTCTCTTTCGCTCTCTCACTGCCTCTTGTTTTTTTACTCCATTTCCAAGGACCCTCCCTCACCCAGAGAAACCAAGGTTCAGCCCAGAAAGAAACGGACGGACAATCCCTTCCATTTCCCATCCCATTCGCTTCGTCTCGCTTGCTCCCTCTCCTTGTTTCTTCCTCTTTTTTTCTTCCCTATCATTCCCCATCAAGACCACCAAACAAACCCACCCTCCCCCAATTTCATCCTCTCTCCCCTTTTTGGATTGAGCGTGTCTTGGTTTCAGGCGCCCAATTCGTATTCGACATCAGAAATTACAGAGCTTGCTGGGCATCCTCTCGATCGAAACCTAATCTCCAAAAAATAACGAAAAAACCGTTGAACCCGTTCATCATGCGCTTCTCAACCGCCATTCTCTTCGCTGGCAACGCCCTTGCCGCTGTCCAGCAAGAGTGTCTCGCCAACCACCACGAGGACCTCGCTGCCTTTGCTGACTGTGCCAACAAGGGCGCTCTCTCGTACTGCCTCGCCAACCTCAAGGAGACCGACGAGGCCGCCCTCAAGACCTGCTACACCTCTGCCGGCTGCTCCTCCGACGCCGCCGCCAAGGAGGCTCACTACACCTTCGAGCGATGCTCCGAGATCGCCAAAGCGGGCGAACTCAAGAAGCGCTACGAGGCCGCTCCCATGCCAGCCATCATCCCCCGCGTCGAAGCCGCCGCTGCCATTACCGACGGCCCCAAGGCCACTGGTGAGCTCAAGAAGCGTGCCGATACCTCGAGAGGAACCGACTGCTACACCACCTTCAAGAAGAGTACCGAGCAGTGCGATCTCGAGACCGTCTCGGATAAGACCAAGACCGCCACTTGCTACAGCACTGAGATCAGCACCAGCTCGTGCCGCGACGAGGTCATCTGCACAACCGATTCTTCCGCCGATGATATTTGCATGACCAAGAAGGAGATGGACACCGCCGGTATCATCATTGCCATCGTCTTCGCTGCGTCAGCCGCTCTTATGCTCGGCTACCTCACCTTCATGTGCTGCCGCGACCGCAAGGAGCAGAAGCGTCTCGTCGCGAAGTCTGAGGCCGTCGCCTTGGCCCGTGCCGCCACAAAGAAGCAGCGCGCTGCTCAGCGCCAGCCCCTCATCCGTAACGCCTCGGGCCAATCCGCCCCCGGCGCCGGCAACCCCTTCCAGGACCGAATCTAGGCGGATCGGTCTCGTCGAGGGAGGGCTACGGGAACGAGGCAGCTTCACCGAGTCTCCGAAGAGTATCCATTTCAAAATTGAGCTCTTCGGCTGGCCATGGAGCTGCCTCTTTCCAAGAACTCGCCATCTCTTTATAATGCCTGTGTGAATGCCAGCGCGGGGGAAATATCCAAGGCTTGGAAATCTTCAAGGCCGAGGATGACGTGTTTTTCGATACCTTGATATCAGGCCCGGAGAGGAACAAACCTTACATGACATGTTTGAGTATTTTGGAGCAATGGGAAAGGATAAAGTCTGCAACTTTGGTGCGCGAATGTATCTATTCATCTACCTTATGAAATGGGGACGGTCACAGCTAGACGTTGAATTAAAGTATTACGTGTGCTTCCATCTGGCCTCTCACATGTTGTTCATCTCGTAGCTTTCCACAAAAATGGTCACACGCGGCACATACTCGCACTCGCACCTGTTGAGGTGAGAGTTGTGATGGCTGAAAGTTTATGGCCAGCACAAGCCACTGGCGTTGGAAAGAGAAACGGTCAGATCTGGCTGGTACTTGGAGGCTAATTTTTGTGATCTGTGTTGGTCAATCATCGTCACGAACATTGTTCACATTCACAGGCCTACTGCACGCATTGCAAGGAGCCATTCAGGGCTGGTGGTGCGTATGATCCACTGCTTGAACAATACTCTTTCATTGAGCTCAGCGCTTTCTTTACGCTGTAGAGTTCCTCATCGCTTTCCTTCCAACTGCAACATTTGGCAGCAAATCGCACCTGGGTATCCATGCAACATCCTCTTCTCAACTCTGGGTAATATCCGAATATACTTTCGCCCGAAGAAAATGAGCTAACATGTTGGTTTGGCCGTCTTCTGTTGATGAAAAACGCCGGAATTTCATGCACTCCGCTGGTGCTGTCTCGGTGGGCCAGTCAGCTATATTGGAACTCACCCCGAATCGTTGGTTTGTGATCCATTGACTGAAGGATCGAAACGATCAATGTCAGATACGTTCGACGAACCCCTCAGGTGTAAAGACGACCTCCCTCTTTTGTGACCTCCTAGCAAGGTGAAAGGCTGGTTACAACTTGCAGAAGGTTCGGGACCTAGAGGGGTGCTATCTCGCACCAGATCTCTGACGGACAAGGCATTCCGGCTAGTTTGTCGGCCCGCCTCACGCTGCTGAGACTTTTCCTATATTCCCCCTCGCAGAGTTGCTTGACCAGCCACCGGGCTACCAATCTCACCTGGAGCGCCGACTGCTCGATAAAATCCATCATTTAGATCGGGTTCCCATCGGACGGCGTGGCTAAAACTTCCACCGTTCTGTCGGATAACTAGCGTACCGCCTCCGTTGTTGGGGTTTCCTTCGGTGTCACAAAGGTTGATGAGAATGGCTTCTGAGATACTGTCGCCTGACAGTACCTCAATTCTTGACTTCAGAATTGAGAGGTCAATGTAACCTTCTTGGTCACCCGAGCCAGCGAGTTCCTGGCATGCCTGGCAGAGCATTGCGCGAAGTTGGGGGAAGCTAGGGTGTGACGCGGTTCGAAGAGAGTTGATTGCAGGAACAGGAGACATGCCAAAGCCAGGAGGTGCACTTGGTGCGCCCCAGACAGGATTGTTGAGCCCTGGGGGAGGCAAAGGATGTCCACCGACACCAGGAGGGCCCCACGGGTTGGGGGCCAGCGGAAACGCTGAAGCCAAGAAGGGACTCGTGGTATAATCAGGTCTAGGTCCAGGTGGTTGGTTTCGCACCCCCATAATTCCTTCGACTTCGAGCGGCTCGTCATCTTCCAACAGAGCCCGACTACCAAGATGTGCAGTTTCATCTTCTTTTTCGTCAGATGAGCGACCAAGATTTATGCTTCCAGGACGCCCAATGGGAGCAGGTCGGCCAATGGGTTGTGCTGGGGTTGGTGGCGCGTCAAATTGAAATGAACTTTGGCGATGATGCGTTGATGGGGGTAAGTCCGTTGGTATCGGGAATCCATTCATGTCAAATTGATCGACTCCTGGCTGTGAGAACCCTGGTGGTATCGGTAAGGGGAATCCCCGTCCAGCTGGCCCATTCATCCCAGGAGGAGGCATCATTGCACCAGGGCCATGTCTAAACGCTGAAAATCCATCCTGTGACATGCGACTGGGGAAACCTGGTGGTGCCGGGTGGTGGTGCAATCCTGGGGGCGGATGCATTCCCATAGGAGGTATCTGGAAAGGAGATTGTCCTGGAAGTCTCGCTTGTCCATTTGTTGGAGATACCGAGTGAGAATGCTGAGTACTTGCGCTTCCGTGGCGCTGGCCAATTAGACCGGGGCTCATGATGGGTGTCATGGAGTGAGGTGAAGGGTCTTGGCTTGCAGACGAAGCTGTAGCGGATTGCGCTCCACTGTCTTGCTGCGAGAGGGTCCGAGGTCTTATAGGAGTCGGTGCTTTGGACATTACAGGAGTGGCGACTGGAATCTTTGGCGAGGCGTAGCTTGCAGGATTCGACGGTTGTTGTGGAAGAGCTGCCGGGATCGGTACCGGATGCTGAGAACCACGCTTCGGGATTTGGATTGGTTGTGATGGTTGACTTGCCGCTTTCTGGGCAGCTGCCTTCTCCTCCTTCAACTTCTCCTTGGCTTCTCGGGCTGCTTGGGCATCTTTCTGAGCTTTTGCAGCACGAGCTTCTTTGTCCCGCTTGTCGCGCTCTTGCTTGTCCTTCCGCTCCTGCGCCTCGCGCTCTTTCTCCTCCTTTTCTTTCTGTCGCTGTTCTTCCCTAAGCTTCTTCTCCTTTTCCTTGGCTTCGCGGGCCTTGCGGTCTTGTTCGGATCGCTCCTGGGCTCGACGTTGCCTCTCTGCCTCCTTGCGGAGGCGAGCTTCTTCGTCAGCCTTCTTCTGCGCCTCCTTTAGCTTTCGTTTCTCTTCGGCCCTGGCTTTTTGTTCAGCAACCCGTTGCTTCTCAGCTTCTAGCCGAGCAGCGTCTGCAGCAGCCTTCTCCGCCTCTTTACGTGCTTTCTCCTCGGCCAGTGCTTGCTTCTTCTGTGCAGCCCTGTCCTTCTTCTTCTGTGCGTCTTTGGCCTTTTTAGCTTTCCTCAATTCGGATTCTCGATCTTCGGCCTCAAGTTCTTCAAGCAGCCTCTGCTGGCGCTCCTTGGCGACTTTTTCCTTATATGCCGAGAGAACCCTTTGCTCAAACATACGGGCGGCGAATATCTGGAACATGCGTCGGCCTTCCTCCATTCGTTGCTCCTCCGTCATTTGGTCCTGGCAGCAACACTCAGTATGGGACTGGGATGGTATCACAGAGGGGTTTGAGTATACCTCTTCCTCCTCATACTCCTCATCCTGACTATCATCAAAGTCATCATCCTCGTCCTCTTCTTCGTCGTACTCGTCTTCTTCAGGAGGAGGATGATTATGTGGATTGGAGTATGAGCCATTAGGGTGACCGTAGCCCCTTGAGAAGTGTTCGCGGGCGTCTTCTTCCCTTGCCATCCTACGTTCGGCAAGCTGTTCCATCATTTCGATAAACCGCTTGCCGTCGTTTTTCAGGAGGTCATCCGCCACGGTGAGAATACCACCTAAGTCCATGTTACCATATCTGCGGAGAAGTGAATCAAGAAGCTGCGTACCCTTGACTTGGAGGCTATTGCCAAACGTCAAGAAATCGGCGACGTCCCGTTCATGCGAGTTTTGATATTCTTCGGGAGGTTCGTCGTCGCTGTAGTCATCGTCCTCCACTTCATCTTCGCTGTAAACCTCCTCCAGCTCGTCCTCGTCTTCGTCGTCTCCCACATGTTCGACTATTCGACCGCGCGATGGCGGGCGGTTGGCATAACTTGATGGCAGACCCCGGGGCGGTCTTAAAGCGAAATCTCGAGCTGATGGTAGCATTGGTGGTCCCTCGCCTTGGTTTGCAAATTGTTCAAGTTCCAGGTAGTAGGCATCGTAGAGCCCTTCCAATTCTTCCTCAATGGCATTTCGCTTCCGTCCGCACACAGTGCAGCTGCATGTATGCTTCTGTTGCTCCTTCATCTTCTTCAGAACAGCATCCTTCTCGACTTTGACCAAGGATTTCCGCTCATCTTCACCCAATCCAAGCCAGAACGCTTTTATACGTTCGCGCTCTTCTTGATTGCTAGTACTCCATATCTTATCGCGTGACATTCCAGGGCCTTGCGACGAGTGCGATTGGGGCTCAGATTCAAGAGTTTCGGGTACAGGTGATGTAGGATCAGCATTCCCTCCCTTCTTCTTTTTCTTCTTGTTCTTCTTCGATTTTGAATCCGAAGGGGGGTGCCCATTTGTAGTTGGGCCTGTTAATTCGCTCGCCAAGATATACTCATGCTCGTCGTCGCTTTCGACCTCTTCGTGGTCAGCGGGACCACGGCCTGGGGTAGACCCTGTGTGTGCACCACCACTCGCGACATTGTTGGTATGTCCGTTCGCAGCTTGCTGTGCGGCTTTTAAAGCAGCCTTCTGTCTACGCTTCTGCTTCTTGCGGTTGACTGTTGGAGCAGGGTCATTGTCGGGGTTGGAAGCCTCTAGTGGGGGGGCACTGGCTTTAGCAGTTGTGGGGGTCGAAGGCAAGGAAGACTCAGAGGTAGCGCCCTTAGGTACGGTGATAAACTTGGAGCCATCCTTGTTGGTGTATTTTGCCGTATTTCGTGGTGATACCGGAGTTTGGGCGGCCGGTCGTTGGTTGTTGGCCGGCATCGTAGGTTACGGAAGCAAAGCAGTCGAGGGCATGAAGATGCTGTGCGCGACACGTGTCTGTCGATGGGAGGACGGTGTATGAGGAATATGGTTCTGTAATACGCGAGAGCGTGTCAGCTTGGAAGCGGAGGGTATCGCGCGTGTCAAAACGGTGAAGTCGTGGTCGTTAGGCGGCTGCGGGCACGTTGCAAGTGGAGGGTCTCTGGGGGCGGCTCAAAATGAGGCACTCACAGTCGGAGAGCGAGCGGCCAAGGTCAGGGTTAGGTCAGCGATGACGCCTGCGGGGAAGGGACCCAATG